CTTGCTTAATATAGCTCATTATGTGTGCTAAATTGGAGTCAAGCTTGAGGTCGGCACTACAATCAAACTTCCATAAAAACTTTTTACAACTCTTGTCACTATTTTTTTTTTATAAAATAGAAGTTTTTTAAACTCTGATATAAAGAGATTATGTATCATATTTTATTTTGTTTAACTTTTTCTTAAGCTAACAGTATTTTATAAAAATTAATTTAATAGCATTCTTGAAAAGGAAAGCGGAGTGCTAGAGTTCGCAGTTACTATTTTTTAGTTTAAAAAAATATAGATTAAAAACCTATAAAGTAATAAAGAAAGCTGGGAAAATAAAAAGTTCTTGATCCACTTATGCAAAACAAAATCTAAAGAATAGAAACTGACTAATTAAATAAGCATGAATATTTAGAAGTTTAAAGGCGAACTATCAACATTTTTTCTACCCTGTATATAAGAAATTTAACATATAATTATATCATGTAATATTATTTGCATACAAATGCATTACCAAATTTGGGTCTAAATTTTAGTTCGACTATTTATATGTTTTAGTACAGTTCTATGAAATATATCTATTAATATTATTGTACAATTTACAGTAAGATTTCCAAATGCTATATACTCCGCTTTCAATTACTCCCCGTTAAGGGATTAACAGGTTTTAAATAAGTGAATTATTGTTTAAACATGTTCTCCTTCATCTAAATGAACTTAATTGAAAGGAACTGAACAATAAACCTTTATTATATATCAACTTCTAAAATTCGGCATTGTTAATAAGCTTTAAATGATAAGGCCTCGTTCTTAACTTTTTCTTAATTATTAATTTTTTTTTATAAACTTACATACCAAAGGTTCACTACAAACAATTACTTTATAAATGAGTGCTATGCGCATGGTGGAATTGGAAAGCTTTGAAAGTGTGGGGCAGAATAACAAGAAAAAAATAAAAAAATTAAAAGTATACAAATTTTTTTTAAAACGATTTAAAAAAGAAAAATGTAAAAATATAAATTAGAAAAATGCAAAACATGAAAAAATAAAACATTTTTCACAATATTAAATAGTATACTACATTAAATTTTAAATAAATCAACTATGAAACACAAAATACAGGGGCCCTACGAAACTAGATACGGATCCCCTAAATTTTCACAGGAAGAATGGTTAATGAGTAAACCTCTTAAAACACCTGAGAAACAGCCAATAAAAATACAAGGAGAGAAATTAATTTTTTACCACATAATTTGACGCACTTTACTAATTGGATACAAACTAAACAGTAATATTTTATAAAAATTAATAAATACAATTAAATTTATCATACAAATATGGAAGCAATTAGGGCCTTTTAGAAAGGGCTAAATGCAGACCTAAAACCGGTCGACAAAGTATTCTCCTGCTTTCGTTTATTTTCTTTGTGATTTGTATTTTGTACATTTGTTTTATACATATGTTATTTTACATTTATTTAATTAACTTATATTTAATGTACTATTAAATATATTCTTTTTTTACAATTTTTTAATACGTAACTTATACCGGGAAGTTAGTGGGAATTTCCTACAATACCTTTTTATGTGCGTCAGGAGGTTAATCCAGCTAAAAAAAAGGTTGTTTCGTACCTTACCTAACATCTCAAGAAGCTTAGACCGGGACGATTCCATTAAGAAGAATGCATTTAAACAATTATATAAAAAAAGATGATTACAGATATAAACCAACTAACAACACCATAAAAACTGATATTTTGTAATCCATCTATCCACCTCGGCGGGATTTAATCATTAAAAACTTTTATTTACAAATATGATAAAGAAATTTTACTTATATTGTTCTATCTACTTTTTGCGAAGATATCACATTTAACCATCGACTAAAAAAAAACCGGTTTATTAGACTGCCATGTGTTCGTGCCCAAAGGCTAATTTGCCTTAGGAGTGCGAAATTGCATGCTTATATAACAGCATTAACTAATAATTTTTTAATTTACTACAATTGTGTATAGTAAAATTAAAATAAGTGTTGCATGGGCCTTAGGTACATGAATAATTTAATATGACATTGACAATAAAATTATAACAAATATTTTATAATTTAAATTTGAGTAAACAAATATAGATGGAGATGAGGTACCATTGCTGAACCCTTTAATATATTGATAAAAGCTTTGTGGCCCTTACTGCTTTGAATGCGCACACCCTCTAGGCTCTAGACTTTTTTTTGCCCAACTATTCTTTAAATAGTTGGTAATACAACTTTTAGTCTTTTAGACTAAAGCAACGTCACTTGCTATTTTAGACAATCAAGCATTATTTAACAAGTGAACAAAAACCATTTTTTTTTTTTTTCTTTAAGTGGCATACTACGCTTGTCCTGCCGTCCTGCAGTAACCTTAAGCGCTTAATCATTACCTCCCACTCAAGGAGTAGGTGCGCTACCAGTGTTACTAACCCGGAGGGGCGTAGTATGACTCTCCTGAAGAACTAAGAGGGAGTAGGGGGGGGGGTGTAGAGACTGATCAAGCACTGCTGCCAGCCAGGTCTCCGCAGCTTTAATATTATGTAGAATTGACATATAGATACACACTTTTAGAAAGTAAAATTATAGACTACATTAATTTTAACGACTGGTTGCTAAAGTGTGCAATAAATTTGTAAAATATATTTATTTTAAAAAAATGCATTTTGTTTGTTTTTTTATGCCATCACACCTATCCTTAAGGACTTAGTTAGTTTGTCATAAGGTACCTCAAGGCTTTCTAAAAGTGAACGACTTTAAATCACTTAGATGGAGGTTTTGACCGGAAAGGCCTCCCCACGTGCTAAGAAACAAGGAAATAGGTGACAGTTGTGCTTTCCTCTAGAAAAGCTGTGGGCGATAGGTACTTTCAGTGCTAAGATCATTAGAACTTTTGCTAATCAGTCTAATCTACGTATTACGCACAAGCGCAGAGGAAGGAGCTCATTTAGCAGTGCGCTTTGAGAAAGGAAGCATGTTGATAAATTTATTCCATACAAAAATATGCTAACTGTTTTTAAACAAAGAGCACTTCCAACTCACAGCATATAAAACTAGTGGGGGAATAATATAACGTAACTATATAATGGAAAGGAGGCATTTGATTTTCAAAATAGAATTATGTGAACGTTATGTACACGCACGGGTGAGCATCCAATGTGGCAGTTATTTTAATTTTGTTTTATATAATTATATTAATAAAACTTTAGCTTAGTAATTTTAAGTACGTTACATAAAAAAATAGTCCGCACTATCGGGTTACTATTTTAAAACTAAAGGGCAGTGAGAAAATGAGGATATTATGGCTGTTAACTAAATTATCTCTTTTCAGCAAGGTCTTACACCCCACTAGATTGACTTGTTAAACTTTAATATAATTTTTCATAAGTTTGCGCTTTCAGGTGATTATAATTAAATATTAACTTTGTTTGGTTATTAGCACGCAGTTAATTGTATTCTTTTCTTCTTTTCCAGGTAGATAAGTAAAACATCTACTCGAAGAAACAAATTTTGCTAGATTATATAGAAAAGCGTTATCTTTATGAATTCAAGTTCTGTTATTCTCAATTACTATTCTGCGAACTTCGCCTCCTTTCTATGTCAGAAAGCTTCTTCGTAACTACATTTATTATTGTTACAATTTCCTTTCCATTTAGTTCTAAGTTCGTTGTTACTTGGCTTTACCGCTTTACCTTTGTTACTATGACGCTCTTTAACTTTTTTAGCATCGTAACAGAACTAGGTTATAACAATGGGTCCTCCTTTGTTTGAGTACTATAACTGTTAAAAGCGTCGCTGCGTACCGACTCACCGCCAGAAATAGTCGAGTTAAGAGGAATAGCGGAAAAATTTAGATTTGTACGCGAACCAACGCAGCCATCACTTGATCGATGGGCGCCTAAGGTGTGCTCGACAAAGTTATTTAATTGAGTATTTTTCTGCATGCCCATTTGATCTTTGTAGTTGAAGCAACTCGACCCTCTGGTTGGTTTCCTCTATTTTCCCCGGTATTTAAACCTTTATATACAAACCTAAAACATACAGTCTACTCAAGAAACAACGTTCTTCTTCATACAAACTTTTAGTAGCGGACTTATATTACATATTTGAATATTTTTTCTATTTAAAACTAAAATTGTATAATGTATTTTTTTGGCAATTTTTGACGCAACCACTAGGCATACGAGCTGATATAATTAAAAAAATTATTTTGTTTTTTCCATTACCAGTATTACTTTTGTACCTAAATGCTCCGCTGGCAGCTAAATTTAAATCACATCAATACCTTTGACATAATTATAATTAAAAAAAGACCTGTTCTTATAATTATCGTACGGCAAGTTAACGTTTATTAAAGTCATCGGTTCCCAAGTTTCATTATATGACAACTATATATTAAGTGCTCCTAAGCGTTAGTGTCTAGAGTTAAATATATTTTATTTTCAGAGGTACGTGTTGTCCTTATCCTTTACGGACGCTAAACTATATGGTTAAAAATTAATTTAATAGCACTTGGAACTATTTTAAAAAAATAATATAATTTTGAGCTAAAAACAGATGCTTATTATTTAGCGATTCCTTATTGTTTAAAAACAATCTGTATATTATTAGAAGTGTCTTTGAATATAGTATTGTGAAAGCCGTACATTGTAATAGATCTTATAGTAATTTATGTATTAAACACTACATACTATGACCTTAAAAAGTACATTATATGAATGCTTATTTAGATTTCCGTTTTGATAAACCTAATTTGTTAAAATATTTTTCTTGCAAAACATCTAGTACTCTATTTTTTATAACGATAAGTTTTTTAACATTTCTTAAAAGAGAAACTAATTGGTTAAAGTGGGCACGTTTACAAGTTAAGACGGTATCTTATTGGGTACAAAAACAGTTCATGTAACTATTTTTAGAGTGGAAGGTATTCTGTATTTTTTTTAACTACTGTGTTCAAGGTTAATATGGGGAAGGAGTTATTAAAATCTTGCAAGAATGGTGATTTTAAAACCGTTTCCAAACTCTTAAAGCTAAAAAATCAAAAAAATACAAATCAGCAACCTAAACTTAAAGGTTTTTTTAAAAATTAGTATTAATTCGCTTTTCTTTGTTAGTGCAGGCAGTTTTATTAAATTCTTAAAACTGTTTTATTTATAATTATTATAGGCGTGGACGTTAATTTTAAGGATAAGGAAAAAAGGACTCCACTAATTCATGCCTGTCTTGGTGGCCATGTCGAGTGCGCTGAAGGCCTTCTTAGTCGTTCGGCTGATGTAGAAGCTAAAGATAATATTGGGTTCTATCTTTTTTCCTTCTTTTTCTTTTATAAACTATTTAATGTAATTTATACAATAATAAAGAAATACAGCACTTCATTATGCAGCAGAATCCAAAGAAGCTGAAAGATTAGTTAAAGCTTTGCTGGGGCAGAAAGCTCCTTTAAACATTCAAAACGATAATAAAGAAACTCCTCTACATATTGCCTGCCGCTCTAATAATTCTGTTGCTCTTAAGTTATTAATTGAAAGCCGTGCAAATATTTCTATTATAAATTCTGGTTTTTAACTTTTTTTAATATTTATAAATCTCTTTAATTTTCTTTATAAACTTATTTTTTATTCGCAATTGCCATATATCTCCTATTAAGCCCTTTTTAGAATTTATAAGGATTCGATTGTATCGATTTTTTTAAATTTTCTTTAAAAATTTAGAAAACAAAACTCCTCTTGAAGTTGCTGTTGAACTCGGATCTTTAGATTGCATAAAACCGTTAGCAGTCAATTTGGAGTTTGGAAAGTAATTTCGGCGTTTTCAGTATTTTTTTAGTTTTTTAATTAAATTTTATAATATTTCATAAATTAATTTTTTTTTATTTTTCTATTAATTTTTAAAATTTTATCATCTTTTTTATTTTAGGTTTTCTATTAATTTTATAATTGTATAATAGTTTATTTTTTTTATTTTTCTTATATATTAAAAATTTGAATTCTTTTTTTCTAATTTCTTTGAAAATTTAAAATTATTTATAGCCATGGAGTCTTATTTTTCGCCGTGAAAAGGAAGGTTTATGAAGCCACTAAGATTTTATTAGAATGCGGTAGTTGAAATTTTTAATGAATTTTTAGATTTCTGCTTGAATTGTTTTTTTTTTACAGGAATTAGTCCTCATTATAAAGATGCTGATTATAATACTCCTTTGCACGCTGCCGTCCAGATCGGTGATTGCGAAATTATTAAAGTAATAATTTTTAATTTATTGTTTTCTTTATTTTTATATTTTATATATTTTTTTTCTTGTTACAAATTTTTTGATTTTATTAAATAATTAGTTTTTTTTATTAATTTTGGTTTTTATAATTTATTAATTCCGTACATTTGTTAAACTAATTATTTTAATTACCAATTTTATATTTTTAGTTAATTATAATTTTTGCTATTAACTATGAAATTAAAGTAGTTATCTTTAATTTATATTAATAAAATATACAAGTTACTAAATAATTTCTTTATAATTTATTAAAAAAAATTTTATATTTGTAAACTTCTATTATAAAAATTTCAGTAAACCTTTTATATTTTATTTATAATTTTATTTAATCAAAATTTACTTTTTTTTTTAAAACTATATTATATACAAAACTGATTTATACTTTAAATTTATTTGTATAACTTTTTTTTCAATTTTTTTGTAAAAATAATCTGAAAAGTTATTAAAAAATTTCTAGCAATTTTAGAAAAATTTTTAAATTATTTAAAAGTTGTTTTAATTATTAATGAAGTTCTTTTTTTTTTAAATTTTTTTTAAACTTTTTGTATATAAAAATGATTTACTTTAAATATTTTCAGGTTTTCCCTTTTTTGTTATTTTTTAAATAATAAATTTTAAAAAAGTTCTATAAATAAATGCGATAAAATTTCTAAAGTATTATTTAAATTTATATATAAAATTTTTTTCATTATATAAATATTTTATATTCTTTTTTATATTAATAAAATCTTTTCTATTCCTTTTTTTACTTTTTTATTAAATGAAACTGATGTACTTTTAATATATTATTTATCTTGTTTTTAGTTACTTCTAGAATATAGCGCTTCTCCTCTTGTTAGTAATTTGCGAAACTTTTCTCCTTTAAATTTGGCACAACAATCTAAAAAGTCTAATTCTAATGAAGTTCTTGAATTTTTAAACAGTAAAGAATTATTACTATTATTTTTTCTTAAATTTTTTGTATGAAAGTTTTGAATATTTTTATATTTAATCTTTATGAAATCCTTAAAATATTGAACAGTAAATTTTTTTTTATTTTCTTTTAAAAGTTTTTACATGAAAATTTTTTAATAATTTTAATTTCCGATTATAATGAACTCTTGAAATTTTGAAGGGTGACGTTTTTTTTTGAAAGTTTTTAATATTTTTTCTAATTTTGTTGAACTTCTCCAAATTTTGGATAGTACATAATTTTTTATTTTAAAGTTTTAAACATTTTTATTTCCAATTCTAATAAATTTTTGATATTTTTTTGAACAGTGAAAAGTTTTATAATTTTTTTCAAGTTTTTTTAAGAAAAATTTAAATATTATTATTCCTAATTTTAGTGAAATTATTGATATTGTGAACAGTATATAATTTTTTATTAATAAGTTTTAAGAAATTTTTAAATATTTTTATTTCCAATTCTAATGAACCTTTAAAACATTAAATAGTGAAAAGTTTTTTTATAATTTAAAAGTTTCTATAATAAAAGTTTCAAAATAATTAATCTTAACTTTAATGAATATTGTAAATTGATATAAATTTTTTTTAAAGTTTTTATTTAAGTTTCAAATACTTTTATATTATTTTAATTTTTGAAATTTTTGAACACTAAAAAGTTTTATTGTTTTCTTTCAATTTTCTTATGCAAGTTTTTAATATTTAAAGTTTATTTTTCAGGAGTATAATCTCAAGTTTTATTAATTTATTATATTTTTTATTAAAATGAATTTTTTTTAATACTTTAAAAGAAAAGTTTGATAAATTTTTTTAATATATTTCAATTTTTTGTATGCGAATAATTATTATATTGATTATTTTCTTTACTATTTGCTTATTTTTATTTATTATATCACTGGTTGCTTAGTTTATTTATTATAAAATATTTTTCGTATAAAAGATTTCCAAAGGTATAAAGTAGCCAATGACAAGCAAGAACCCATTGATCCGGCAAGGACTTTGTGGCCGTTAATGAAAAACAAAATCAACTGGACGGGCGCGTCTGGGTTTTCCTCTTCTCCCACCTCTCCCACGTGGGCTCTTTGCGATAATAATAACGTTAATTTTTTTTATAAGCGGATATTCTTTTTCCTGGAGCATATTTTGAAATTCATAAAAATACTAGCGAATATTAAAAAAATCTATAAAACTCTCTTCAACTTTTTTAAAGTTTTTATGGTCTAAAATATTGTATTGTTATTATTATTATAATATTTAAACTAAAAAATTTACTTAATAAAATCGTAATGAAAGTAGTTTTTCTTCCAATATAATTCTTTATAAAAGAAACTTATTGATGCCTATGACTATATTTATATATATTTAATTTTATTATTATTATTTATTGTTATTATGAATACGTTTCTTATTTATAAATTATTATTATTAAGAAAAACGTTTTCATTATAATTAGATTTTTTATTAATCATTATTATCTTTAAAACTTTTTTCTTTATAATTTATTAGTGTTTTATTAGTTAAACGTATTCATTATTATAACTGTATTTGTTCTTATTGATAATACTTTTGATACTTTATTATTTTTATTTATTAAATGTTTCATTATTTTATTTATAAATATTATTCATAATATCATATAACAGTTTTTTATTTATAATTTATTAGTTTTATTTGTTAAATCTTTTCAATTTTCTTTATAAATTAAATAATTATTGTTATTATCAACACTATAATTTTTATTTATTAAACGTTTTAATCATTATAATTATATTTTTTATTATTTATTATTATTATTAACACTTTATTATCTATAATTTATTTGTTTTAATTATAAAACATTTTCATTATTTTATTTACGCTTTATTCTTTATAATTTATTAATTTCATTAAAAAAAGTTTTCATTATTTTATTTATATTTGTTCTTTAGCACTTTATTATCTATAATTTATTATTTATATTAAAAAACGTTTTCATTATAAAACTTCATTTACTATTATTGTAAAATACTATTAACAATTTTGAATATTTTCATTATTATTATTTTTTTCTTATATTTATAAACTTTATTTCACCACAAAATTTTCTTAAAGAAGTAAATTTTATTATAAAATATTTTATATATTCTTCTTTTGGCCTTTTTTTTTTCCCAACAAATTTTCATTATTAATTTTTTTCTATAAAATATATTCACTATTTTCTCTGAATTTATCCATTTTTTTCCTTTTTTTTACCCAACAATATTTTTATAACTAAGTTTTTTTTATATATTTAGTCATTGTTTTTTATAGACTTTTTACTTCCCACCAACTTTTATAAAATTTATTTGTTTTTATGAAATTTATTCACTAATTTTCCACAATTTACAATTTTTTTATATCAAGTTTTTATATTTTTACATGTTTCATTATTATTATAGACTTTTTTCCCACCAAAATTTTTAAATAAATAGAAATGTATTTATTAAATTAAATTACTGTTTTGTCAGACTTTTTACTTCCCAACTTTTTTTTCCAAATTTTTTCATTATTTTTATAGAGTATATTTTCAACAAATTCTATTGTCAATAAATATGTTGTATAAAATTTAATCACTGTTTTTATGGACTTTTTTACTCCCCAGATTTTTTATAGAATTTGTTCATTATTTTTTCAAGTTTTAGCAATTTTTTTTTAAGTTAGATTTTATTTATTATACTTTATTCACTATCTATATAGACTTTTTTCCCAACAAAATTTCTTTTTAAAATTAGTTTGTTTTATAAACCTTAATTACTTTTACTTTTCATTAAATTTATTGGTTATCAAAAATTTTGTTCACTGTTTTTGTAGACCTTTTATTTCCCAACAGCTATTTTTATATATAAAAATTATTTACTAATTTTGTGGACTTTATTTCACCAAAAAATTATTTTTTATTTCTACTTATAATTATAAAAGTCTCATGTACAACTTTAATTATAACATACACATTTCTTTTTTGACTTTTTACTATTTTTTTTAAATCTTTTTTATATTCATAATAATTTTTTTTACGTTTCATTATTTTTTTATATTCCAGCATACTTTTTGCCAAATTCTGTTCAAACCGGATAGAACAAACTTTTTAGTTTTTGACTTGCAACACGAATATCATATTTCTGGCGCAAGACTTGTAGGAAATAGTAAAAACTTGCTTATTTACTTTTACTAATTATACAATTTTTTTTTTTATTATGATTTTTATTTTAAAAAACATTTTTTATGTTTGTCGGAGAAAATAAGGAGGAGCGAATGGTTTGTCTGTAGAGGAGGGGAAAAATACTATATGTAGGATAGGAATAAAACACGTGGTATGAGCACGTGGCACATTCATGTGGTATAATGACACACAGTACTAGTACTTAATCACTATACAACAACTCAAAAGACAGAATGGCAACATGACCATCCGAATCCGTCGAGTTATTGTCACTATTTCAACCCTACACTTAGCTACTGAGTTCTGGTGCGTTACATATCTAAAGTTGTAGCAACGGTTCTGGAATTGAACGAAAAATGTTAGGTTACGTCACTAGTTAGTTCCTTCCGCCATGACCGCACGTAACCACCCGGACGACGGTAGTGTACTAGCCAGCTTAGCTACTTTTTTAAATATTAGTGTATGTTATGTATTCGATAAGTTAGATCTTTCTAGGCATATTATAAAACTACTTCGAAAGGCAATGTTAATACTCAACGCGTAGTTTTAGTATTCAAGTTAATTAGCTCAAATAAAATACCTTAAAGTCATCGTAGAATGAATTCAGAATCAACTGACGTGGTATATGTACCCCATTTATAAGCCTGTGATTAGAGTTAACTTTAATATTTCTAATACAAATTTTTATTATTTGATAGTAAAAATTTGATTTTATAATATTCTTATGTATAAATATATTTTTATTGTATTTTTATAACCTTTTTGATAAAAATGAATTTTTACAGTTGAATTTTTTTATAAAAATTATTATATATTATATTTTTTATGACTTTTTTCAGCGTATTTTAAAAAATAAACTTTATTTTATTAATATTCTTATTATTTATATTCAATATATTTTTATATTTTTCTGTAAAAATTTTTTTATAACTTTATTATACGAATTATAATTAAAAATATTTTTATAAAGTATTATATTGGAAATTCTAAATAATTTTTATTATAGAAAATTAAATAATAAATTTTTATATAATAAAAAAAATTGGGAGTAAATTTTTATTAATAATAAAACGCTTTAATAAAAAAAAATGAAATGCTTAACAATATTTTAAAAAGTACTGATGAAAAAAAATATCTATATTACAAATAATATTATATTACTTAACTTAATAATAAAATCTGGAGGAAATTTTTCTGATAATAAAACGCTTTAAGAAAGATATTATAATTTTTTAAAAATATTTTCATAAAGTAATTTTAATGGATCATAAGAATTCTTATTATAAAAATAAAAATATAAAAATTAATGAATAATAATATTATAAAAAATTTTCTATTAATAGATATTTTGAGGGATTTCAATAAAATTCCAAATTTTTTTGTAATAAAGTTTTGAATAATAATTAAATTATGCAGTAAAGAACTTTAACATAAATGTTATTATCATTATTATCATTGCAAAAAACTCTGCAGGCAGCCAAGATATGGTTTATGAATATCTGCTTGAAAAAGGCGACTCTCTGGAGGGTCCATGGTCTTTGGTTATAGAAAACGCATGCAAACTTTTGGGCCCGTCCGACTATACAGCCCATAGTGGCGTCCCTCAGGTGATGGAATATTTTTTTATCAGGAAGAATTTACTTTATTGATAAATTTATTGTTAAGAAGTTTTAATTTTTATCCTTAAATATGTTGCTGTTTTTTTTTTTTTTATAATAAAAGTCTAAATAAATAAAGAAACTTTAGACTAATCACTTACGAGTAATGCTTATTTGGCACTATTTTTTTTTATTAATGATCCGTGATAAAATTTCCTTTTTTATGAATTTTTATTGTTTTATTTCTTTTACCTTTCTATATCAATAATGGTTTTCATAACAAATAAATGGAGATAAGTTATAAAAAAAATTGATAACTTTTTAGTATATTAACAGCCAATAAAAATGCTAAATAAAATATTTTATATTTCTTTAATAAAATTTTTGTAGGACTTCACCAACTTTTTCACCACCGGAAGATTTTTCAGACTTTCCTTGCTTTCCAATTTTGGCGGCCATTTTTGTGCGCTTTCCCAAGTTGCCTTTTACGGTGTGGGTAGGTTTACACAATTTTTCGGCAGGATGAAATTAATTTGCTAAGCTTTTTTGTTAAGATACCAGAATTGTAACTTATTTAAAAGAATTTGAGTGCTTCCATCTCTTCTCTACTCTTGTTGAGTCCGGCTATGCACACGTGCGTCCCTACTTTATTTACTTTAAATCATAAAAATTCATTGGTTATTATAATTTTATTTCCTCTTTTTATTGGCTTTTTAGCTTTCTGATGTTTGGGTTTTGGGCTACAAAGAAAACGAGTGCCAAAGCATTTGCAATAATAGTAATGAGGACGTTGAGAAACTGAAAAAAGTTATTAATAAAGCCAAGGAAACAGTAATATTTATTATATATATTATTAATATTATAATCATAATTATTGAATGAAATCCCAAACGCATTTTATATACTTCATGGCTTTTTAAGAATTTTTTTTATAATTTTTAATATTTATTAAATAATTATATAAAAATTATTAGTGTAAAATAGTTTTCATTAAAAATTATTAGTTGGCTAATATTTAACAGACCCACGTGTGCCAATATATAATACATTTAAATGACTATACGCATTTCATTTTTCTTATTAACTTTTAATTAGTAATTTTTTAAAAAGTTAATATTATTTATTATAAATTGGTCCATACACGTATTCATATTTTTTACACTTTTTCTTTGTATTATTAATAATTAATTTATATTTTTAATGAAGTTAAGTGTCCATACTCATTTCAAACTTTTTTTTCATTTTTATAATGAATTTTTTTAATAGCAAATTTTTTCCTTTTTAAAACATTTAAGGAAAATAAGTTGACATTCTTAACATTTACGGAAAAAGGCGCGTGGCCTTCAGGCCATATACAGAACAAGCGGCTGCCTGAACTTATTATTGAGAGCGATCCAGGGTTTGACTTATTGGCGGGAAAAAGTCCCTTTTTTCTTTATTTTTTTTAACTAATTTTTGTTCACTTTTTTTTAGTGAATTGTACTACCATTTTATAAAATTTGTATCACTTTTTATTTTCTTTTATTATATCTTATACTGGATGGAAAAAATTTCATTCTTAATCTTGACAATTTTTTGAATGAGTTGTACCACATGTTACTTAATTTTATTACTTTAATATTCTATTAATTGTTTTATTTTTTAACAGCAGATTTTTTTATTATTTTTATTGGGAATAAATTATCAATTTTGTTAATGATTTTTGCTACACTTATAAATTTGTATCCTTTTCATACTTATTTTATTTTTCTTCTATTACTATATATTTTAAATGGCGAAACTATTTTTCTTTGTTTGTTTGATATTTTATTATCATTTATTTAAATGATTGTTCTACTCTTATAAATTTGTAATAATTTTAATTTTCTTTTAATGTTTTTAATAAAAAAATGATGGAATTTTTTTTTTCATTATCCCTCTCGATATTTTATTATCAATTTTTTTTTACTGTCTTTGCTACGTTTATAAATTTGTATTAATCTTATTTTTCTTTCATTTTTTAATATTTAAAAGGGCGGAAAATTTTTTATTATTTTTCTTCATAATCTAGTTTCAATATTTTTAATGCATCATACTCCATTTTATATAAATTAGTATTTTAAATTTTGAATGGCGAAAACTTTTATTCTTTATACATTCCTTCATAATATTTTATCAATTTTTTTAATGATATTATATTTTCTCTAACTTACGAATTATTATATTATTTTTTATTGCTACGCTCTAAATGCGAAAATATCTTTTATTTATAAATATAAATAATAAAATTTTATTAAAAAAGTATATTTTTTAAAATTTAGAACGACTGACAAAGTGGAGCTCTTTTTTGATAGCCCTGTTAAAGTGAACGGAGAGCTCTTTGGAGAACTTCAGCCTGATGTTCTTTATGGAGGGCCTTCATTGGTTATTAAATATTAAATATAAAAAAAAATAATATAAAAATAATTATTTTATTTTACTATTTATTATATTTATTTCTATTTATCATTTTATATAATATTCTTATTATTATTATATCTTATATTAGTTATTATTTTTATTTATTACTAGTTTATATGTCGTCAAAAAAAACATCCAAAGATGTTAACTTTTTATATATCCGCTTTGTTTATTATTATATTTATTACTATATTTACTATTTATTATAAAGTTTTCATTTTATCTATTTTTTTTAATAAAATTTTTATTATATAGTATTTAAAAAGTTATTATTAATATTAACTTACTGTAACTTTTTTATAATTATTAATAATTATTACTAAGTAAAAATAACACTAAGTATTTTATATTCAGTTACATTTTTTATTTCCTACGTTTATTATATTTATGATATTTTTTATTTTATAATAAGTATTCTATTTTTATTATTAAATAACTATTTATAAATATATTTTAAATATTAGGAAAAAGTTTTTTTATTACAATAAATTGTTATAAAGTAAAAAACTTATTGTACTAATTTTTTTATGTTGAATGTATTTATTTAAAATATTTGTTATTATAATAATATTTAGTAGTTTCTATAGATATTATATTTTTTAGAGTAAATATGTTATATTTCTTATAATTATTTATATCCAATATCAATTTTTTTCAATATATTAATATATAAAAAATTTCTACTCTTCTATAATTTACTTACTATTCTTTATTTTTTTATTATTGTATTGCTTATTTTATTCTCTATAAACTTTTATTATATATTTATTTATAAATCTTATCATATTTTAATTTTATTTATATATTTATAAAAAGTATTATTATATATTATTATACTTTTACTATTGTATATATTTTTTTTGGATCTTATATAAACTTTTTATTTATTTTTGTATATTATGTGTTATTTTCTTTATTATATATTATTTTTAAAAACTTTTTAATACTTTGCTTTTATTATAATTATAAAACCTTTTATTTATTTTTTTATATTTTTATATATTAATAAAACTTTTTATATATTATTTTAGGTAAAGTTTAAAAATATTAAAATTCTTAATGCTGGAGAATTTTATTATGGCATTCGCGCCGTAAAAAATCCGGACATTCTATGCAATAACAGTCTTCACTTTATAAAAATTGGTATAAAAAATACTTAAACTTTGCTATTTTTTATATAATATAGTAAAGTGAAAGTAAATCATTTTCCATTTGTTTATTATGAAAATATATTTATATATATATATAATTTTTATATAAATATATCAAACGTAAAATATATATTATAAAAGTATTAGAAAAACTTTATTCTTATAAAAAAAATTAAAATATTTATAAATATTTTATATAAAACAATAAAAATCAGAAGTCTACCTTTATTTATTTATATAAAAGATTTAAGAAATGCTTAAAACTTTTTATTTATATAGAAAAATAAAATTTTACCAAATATTTTTTCGAATTGTATTGAAAAATATTCAAATCTTTATAAGAGAAAAATTGAATTTATATAAAATTATTTTGTATATAGAAAAATAAAAATCTTGGAAAAAAAATATTTTTTCAAAAAAGTCCTGATAGTGTTTATTTTTACAAAATAAAATTTTAAATATATAACACTTTATAACATGCTTTATTTTACTATTTATTATTTATTTATAAAACATTTTTTTATTTTATATTAAAAATTATCATTAAAATTAATATATTTTTTAATAGTATCAAAAATATTTGTTATATTCATAAGAAATAAAATATATATAACTTTTATTTTTTATATCAAAAAAAAAACCATAAAATTAATAAATTTTATAATAACATCTGGAGTTAACTCTGATATACCATGTGCTCATACCACGTGCATCTTTGTTAGGTACCACTTGCCCGTATCACTTGATTATACTACGTGTTTTTACGCTTGTCCTACATTCTGTTGCTCCCCTATTTTTCTCCGTTAACACCAAATACAAATATTTTTATAATAAATGTTTTATTACTATTATTTTAAATAATAGTAATAATAACAACAGTAATTATAATAAACAATAAATAGTAAACAAAATAATTTTTATATAAAATTAATTATTTATATATAAAATTAAATAAAAAATTAATTTCTTTTATAAATTTTTTTAGGAACTCAATTTCTCGGGACTGAAGATTTAATAGAATCGACTGCTGATTCTCTTGCTTTATTTGATATCTAAAGCTGAAAAGAAACTTAAAAAATAAAAAATCTTTTTATAAATTAACTTAAAATTTTTTCATAGTATAATTTGCCCTTCATTATTTTTATGCGCATTTTTATTTACCTTTTCACTTGTAAATCTAATAAAGCTGTTATTCAAACCTCGTTTTTTTAATTTAAAAATAATTTATTCAAAAAAATAATTGTTAGTAGTTTTTACTATAAATCTTAAAATATGGTGTCTAAACTTCCACTTTGCATAGTTCTTCTGATTAAACTATAACTCATTTATATACTAAAAAAAGAAAAATAGAAGTAGAACTCTTTCATAGAATTACTTCCCACTATCCTTGAAAGATTGTAATCTCTAAAGCAAGTACGTTATTTTACGTATCCCTTCAAGTCTTCTCTTAACATTCTCGTGTAAACTGCTCATAATTGTGCCCAAAAGCTGTTTTTTGCAATCTTTCATGGAAAGGATACTCGAGTTCTTCAATTTTTTCGTTTTTAATAAAAAAAGTCGTATAAACCGTAGCGAGTGAGGATATCTTTAATATTTAAAATCTATTGTCACAATCGAGTAGGTTTCTGTAATATTTGAGAATGCCAACCGAGTGTTTAAGCTGTGTTTGAAAATTTGGATTTAGCATTATTGCTTTGTAATTGTAAAACTAAAGAGTTGTGCTCGTAACGTAATAAAATTTAGTGAAAATATAGAAAAATATGATCCAGTTTAAAAAAGTTTATTTAAGGGTATAAATATAAATAATAAAAAAATAAAAACTAAAAAACAGAATAAAGATACAGAGAGGGGTAATAAGATTAACCGATGCGGTTTATTTTTTTGTTAATATATCATTAAATAATTTTAAATATCCAGATTGGTTCATAAATCATTGTTGATTGGATTTTGAATAGATACTATTTTTAATAAAATGCGTTAAATTTTCAGCAATATAAAAACTTGTTACTGAGGCTAAGTTGTAAAATTATGTATATACTTCTATTTCTATTGTGCAAAGGCCTCGTGTTCTTAAGCTATTTGTAATCCAGAAGTCATGAGAGACCAAACTATTCGTTACAACCTAGTACTATGCGAAAAAGTACTCGTAATCCTTTAAGCTTTGGCCATAATAGTAAAAAAAACTTCTTTTTCTGCACAAAATAATTATCATATGGCACACAATAAAATGAATAAAATATACTACCACACTTTTAAGAGCTATTAATTTTTACTTTTGGGCATCACTCATACCCCTTAAAAGTAAGAATTAGATTTACAGACACTAAAGTTATAACACTAAAAACTTTACAGTATATCTTTTGGAAAATAATCACTAAACAAATATGATATAGCGAGGAATAAATTTAATTAATGCCTAAAAATTTAGAGTGAAGGGTAGGAGTTCCACTTAAAGACAAGGGCTGCTTAAATCCTAAATTACATAGCTTCTACAGCACTACGGACTTATTCCATGCGGGTACTTTAACAAAAAGCATTAATCTCTTGATAAAAAACAGTTATTAATTCAATATAAGCCACCTTAAACACTGAGAACTTAGTTATTCCAGATATTCATATCTGTTAGTATTAAAGTTCTTATTTCCCCAAAATGAGTAAGACTGTTTTAAATTTATTAAAAGAAAACAAATGGGATAAAAATTTAAATTTTTCATCTAAGATGCAATGGTTGATAATAGTCGCTAAAACGGAAATACATATATTCATTAAGGTCACAAACTCAAAAACTAGAAAAATATCTGATATACAAATGGATTACTAAACATAATCACATCATAAATCCTACCTGAATAATTAACCTTTACGGTCATTCTATAAAATATTTAAGTTAAGTTTGATACAGGATTTAATGCAACTTATTCAAGTAAATAGCTACTTTATAATAAAGAAAACTAATTGTTTAATCGTTATATCCAAGTTCAAAAGAGAATCTTGCATTATAAAACCTTTGTGTGCCTAGTATAAGTACATAATTTTCATCACAAAAACTGATAAGAAGAGCTTATATTCGATTAAATAATGCTTTAAATTTGCTTTACTGTTCGTTCTATCTCATCAAAGTAACTACCTAGAACACTACCACCAAATTTGTGCAAAAACTGCAACCCTGAGAAAAGTGAATTGCTTAGCTTTTAAAGTTCTGTCTTCAAGGAGCAACCTTATAAATGCAGCCTCGCCGGGGGTGGAGGAGCTCTCAAGCGAGCTAAACGCTGAAAAAAGAAAGGATTGTTTGCTATGAACAATTAACAATAAAAAATAGCTACACATAAATATGGGCAAAGATTAATGATCATAGGCTTAACTTCAGCGAGACCAAATCCACTTCACTGCAATGACTATTTAAGGCGGTGACCCCACCGCATACACACACAAATTAAGAATCCATTAACTTTACTAAAACGAGGCCTTCCTTATAAAACCCAATCTCAAAGAAGACAAACTCATGCTGTGCAGAGACCTTAACTATTGATTACTACAACAAAAGAAAGCTATTTACGAAACAATTTGACTTTCGGAAATTAATAAGGGTTACGTGTAATGCTAGACACTTTTTAAAATTGCCACGTTATAACTAAACTTGTACTAATGAGACAGTGTTACAATATTTTAATGTGACGGCAAAATTTTTTTAGTAAGGTTAAACGGACGCGCAGAGATGTCAGGTCTACCCGGGGCAAATTTGAAAAGCACTAGGGGTTACGTGTAACACCAGTTAGTATTCTAGGTTTAAGTAGAGGAATTTGGTTAAACGAAGGAGCAGATACTAGCGTAGCTTGAGACCATCTTCTAAATAATAGGAATTGGTCATAGAAAAGCTCGAGGTCATAATTCAAATTTGTAAGACGAGCTAAAGTATCCGAAGGCGTCAAAGTTTTGCTACTCCCATGAAAACTACACAGTAAGCAGAAGAAAGGCAGTACATTAAAGAGACAACACACCTTATACTTAATAGAAGTACCCATGAATCCTTATAAACCTTAGTGCAACTTAGAAGAGCGGACGTACATGCAGCAGACATCATTACTGCTGAGGCAAAGGTTCATGTAAAGAAGGACACTGCCAAAAAAGAATTACAAAAATACTCATTAAAATTTAAACAATGATATGTTAACACTTATACCACAGACTTAAAATTACGAAAGCAGCTAGTATACACCAAGTAAAAAGGGAATTAACTCAAACTGAAAGAAAACGAGAATGCTTTTTAAAGCAGCATCAAAATAAAGAAAAAGCGACAATATTCGGAAAATCGACTGAGGTACAACTAATAGCAGATATGAAAATGTAAGCAGGCATTTTATCCTCAGCTGGGAAAGTCTGACTAACAATGCTGCTTATACGTACCTCGAGGTCATTTCTCCTGATGATAGGTAGTTTTCCGCCAGTATGGACTGAATATCTCAGGGGCCCATTGGCTTCTCATGGCAACCATTTTACTCATTCAGAAGGTAAAACTGCAAAGCATCTGCCTTAAACTTTTGATTATGGGAAAAAACGATTAAGCATTTAGAAGTACTTAAAGGATGTGTAGTATGCCAGTAAATAAGTATAAGTAAAGGATATATCTTTTTTTCTTACCCATGTAATTTATTGGGACTATCATTAGCTTATTTTCGAAAAAAAAATTGCACGTAAACTATTAAAAATGTTTTTATTTTACATAGTTTAGGGCTAGATATTATGATCGGAGTTTCTTATGTATTTCTTCTGTTCTATTCAAAATTGTCTGCATCTTTTTTTTTTTTAAAACGCTATATTTATTACACTTCACCTCCTTTTAACAGCACCCCATCATCCCACTTGAAGTATCGTGACCTCTCACTTGTTAAAAATAAAACTAAAAGACTCAAGGAACCACTCGGATATACCCTTCAGACAGTTGATGACTAATAAACCACAAAACATACACAATCCCTAGGACACAATTTAAAACACAATATACGAAAAACAAAAAAAATCAATAAAAAAATAAGCATAATAACAAAAAGTAAAATTTAATCCGGTTCAATTAAATTATTGTATATATACGGAAGCATAAATTAACCTTTTGGATAGGTATAAATACAGACAGAAACTGGTCAATAGAAGCAATCTTGTTCTAATATACTTTTTTATATACAATTTTTTTATGTACGAATATTAATAATGACACTCACACTGGTCTATATAACTATTTAACGAACCATGGAACTTAAAAGATAAGCAAATTGCTTACGCTACTCTTAAGTACAGCTAACATGACAAAGGCACCTAAATTACAACTTCAACAACAATAAAAATAGTAGTACTGGTAACAACAGTAGTAAAGGTAGTAATAATTGCAGTAAGAGTACTGTATATGACTGAATAGGAGTAATAGAAAAATATTAAAAATTAATTAGAACTTTATTTCTAATAATTGTAGCAATAACTGTAAAAAAATATATATGCCCTTAATAGAAAACGGAGACAGGTTAGACTAAAAAATGGGCAATAGGCCTGTCAGATACCCGTATTACCCGCTAGAGACATCGAACAACCTTCTGCCTTTCAAACTTTTGAAACAAATAAAAGGTGCCAACTGTTGTTCTATGCGATATACAGAAGTAACATTATTTTTTCAACTTTTGCAAGCTAACAGCGCCAAAATTCTGAGATCCAGGGGCCACACGAACAAATATTTTAGATATGCCTGGCAGAAGCTAATAAATACATCTCAACATTGCTATGCTCGATGCATCACTACACATTATTTTTTATTTACTGCAGGAAAAGCGAATTGTCCTTCACAGAATCTATTGCAATACTGACGTCCCCAACTGTCTAGGGAGACTTGCGCGTCCAAGACATACCGCTCTTCTGGGTTGCCCAAAAGCACATTGAGAGCATTTTCAACGGTAAACCTGCGAAGTGACCTTTACCAATAGTTTTGGCACATAAAAAAAGGTGTAATCGGCAGAAGCTGCCGGAAGAGAAAACTTTTTTTTCCATTTTCAGGTTAGCGAGGAGAAACTACG